TCTCTCTCTCTCTCTCTCTCGACATTTCGACCCCTCAAACTCTCTTAACTATGCAAATCTTTCTTCGTCACAAAATTGCATTTTCTTGTACACTCTATCCTGTCTTCTCTCTTTCTAACTCTTCTATTTCAGTATTGATCTATCTTTCTGTCCCAGAAAATACGATTATCCGATGCTTATCCTTCCAAGGTCCTCGGTGTCTATCTAGTATGGCGCGGCGCGTCAAGAAACCTCCGCGTCTACGTGGACTTTACGTTCACGCTTTTAAATCGGGAGCACTTCTCCATGAACGAAAGCTTTTCCGGCAAGCGCGTCAAGTTCACTTACGAAGCTCCCGCTCAGGGTAACCGCAACTACATCGCCGTTGCGGATCTGTACAGTCGTAATTTCGCCGATCCGAACGGCGAGTTTCAGCTTGAGCTGTCCATGGCGAATGTGCGGACAGTCTACATGACCGAGGTCAGAATGCCGACGTCGGTGCTCGGTCAGCCGAAACCGAGCAAACTCGAAACCGACTACTTCGCGTTCGGTGGATTCGACTGGAATCTGGTCATCTATCCGCACGGAGAGGGAAAGGATAACACGGACGGATCCCGCGGTCAGGACAGTCGCGTGAGCGTCTATCTGATAAGACTGTCGGGTTTCGATCACCGTTGCAGAGTGAGGTACATTCTGGCTCTGGGCGAGGGCGATCGGCGTATCGACTCGGGACAGATCGAGGACATCTCCGACTCGGAAGGTTGCGGCTTCGGCTGGCACACGAAGTTCAGATGGTCCGAGATCGCGCACAAGGGAACGCTCCGGGTGTCGTTGGAGATGCTCGAGGCGAGAACTATTTGCGAAGTCGCGGTACAAGCGTTAGGCCCGACGGTTTTGCCAGCCGCGCCTTGCTACGATCGCGACAAACAGGCCTGGACAATTCGCGCCGATCTCAACTCCGACACGGTCAGACTTCATTTGGTGTACAAAGACATTCATAACGTGCCGAGGAATCATTTGAGGTGCGTATCAAATTTATCGTGAAAATTATTTTAGAGGAAACTATTATATAGTACGCGCGATTGAATATGCAAAATCTCAAACGTTTTAAAGAAATATTATTACGTTGGTTTAATTGCTATATTCTATAAAGCGCATGATTTTATGCAAGCAGGTACGTAAGTTGGTCGGCTTATCTGCTGAAGCGCGAGGGACCAAACGTCGTGGCGATTGGACTGCCCGGCGAACCGTTCAGCCGCTACTACGTTCAGGAATCCGTCGACGAGGGTATCATCATGGAGACTAACGTAGACATGAACGACGTGAAGGAAAATCATTGTCCATATCTCACGGATAAAGGTCAACTGCTTATCCGGTTGGAGTGGAACGAGAGTCACTTGCTCTTCCAGGCGACTTATCACAAGTACGACGACGTGTGTCGCGTTCACAATCAGCAGATGCGACGCGAGATCATGTCGCTGCAGGCGGAAAACTACGGTCTCGAACGGCAGTTGTTCAGCTATCAGAAGAGTCTTGCGTACGCGCAGGCCCAGCAGCAGCAGCAACAACAACATCCAAATCAGCAACATCACTCGGTGGGACATCAAGGTCATTTAGAGCGATCGGCGTCCAGCGAGACTGAATACGCCTGACAAGTGGAACGCGAGTTACCGGTGTCGCCAACACCGAGTTCTCGACGTCAGCTACCATCGGCAGCAACATCGCCAGCGACGGTGCCGGAGGACGATCAACGGGTGCATCAGAACCTGGTCAAAATGATGGACCGACGGCTGAGCAACGTGCAGCTGCAACAGCATCTCTACGAGGAGAAGCGACATCATCGCTACAGCAGCGGCAGCGGCAGCAATGTCTCTTCGCCCAGACGGAGCATCGATCCGATCAGTCAGGAGCATCGTCGCAGTATCCTGCAGCAGCCCAGATCCAGCGTAAGCGCCAGATCCAGCAGCAGCATTAATGGCGGGAATGGTAATGGCGGTTACGAGAACCGCGGCGCCGGCAATAATGATCGGTATGCCGGTTACTATCTGGGATACGTCGGCCAAGCGGCGCACAAGCGACGCAGAACCACATTCTGGGAGACGCTGACGGGCTTGGTGTGCTCCCTGGGGGCTCTGGCTACCAGAGCCGCAAAGATGGCTACTAGACGGGGCGATCCGCTCTGAGGGCACAATCGACGGAAGACTTGACGCAACGATCGCGGCTCGCATGGGAATGTGACGTTGAACTCGTTGGAAGCGCACATACTGCGCGCTTTTCCGTTTTTTGCGTATACTGATGCGACATCTTACGCGGAATGAATTTCGAGAGATATCGAAAGTTGTGTGACGGTCAGAGAAAGGTTGTGAGTTTAACGTAACGTTATTTATTTTTATAATTTTCGATTCGCGCTTAAAATAAAAATTAAAACTTTGTATTGTACATTTCTTCTATTTTAAGTTTGTTTCAATTTTCTCTGTGTGCCATAATTCAAAATTATATATATCTCCTTCGTAGATACGCACTCTCTTTAAGTTCGTAAAATATATATTTTCTCTTAATCAAAAGATACGCGTGGTAGAGATACATGTGAAAGATAGATTGTGTACACGCTGTATATATCTCTCTGAATACCAATATTTTCATGCAAGATGTGTTTGCCGATAGTTCTCGGAGATTGAGAGATCTGTATCGATTTTTATAAGCTGCGTTTTACATCCGCATGTATTTACATGCATGTAATAAGACGGGAAAAAAAAACACGACGGAGAGCGAAAGAGAAGAGATTGAAAAAGAAGAGAAATTGCAAGCGGAGTCTAGAGGGTTGTGTTCTCCTCGACTCTATGCCTATACACACACACGCAGAGATTTACACACGATTCACACACAAATTCACACGAACACAAAAAAAAAAAAAATCTATCTACTTGTCAATTTAACTAAAGAACTTATTTTCCTCTAAAGACTTTTTTCACCTATTGTGTACATCGCCGTGAAAATAAAGAGGACACGCGCGTTGGCATAATCGCCAAGCCGAATAACAATACTGTAATTACCGTAGAACGTATATTAATTAGAACTTTAGAGTACAGTCAATGTTACATAAGCGAACAACTACGAGAGAAGAGAAAGAGAGAGAGAGAGAGAGAGAGAGAAAAGAAAAGAAAAAGCACAAGAGATTGTGCTTTTTTAAAAGCTCTTGGTTAAAAGGCCGCTTCGCGATGCGTGTTATGTCATCGCTGTGCAAATTAAGTTCACTCGGATACTAATAGTCGACTTCGTCCCCTTCAAATTGATCTTTTTACAACGAACGTTAAGAACGTCTCGTTATATAAACTGCGTTTTTATTCGCGCGAACTATCGCTACTCGCCGTACAAACACACTCGGCCGAAACACACATTGAGCTGGTTCTATTAAATTCTAAGAACGTCTACCTGAGAAATATGTGGATTAATAGGAATTGAATAATAAAAAAAAAAAAATGTATTTTTGCGAACTTGAACTCGTTTCGTATAATCGTATTTTCGTAATCGAGAAGTGGCTTTCATATGTGTATATATATATATGTATATATGTATATATACATATATATATATATATACTTGTCACACACGTTTCCTTCCTTATAAATTATAAAAACTACAAGCAATTTCGAAGACCTTTAGAAGGTGATTTAAACATCTTTTTTCCTTTCTATTTCACGTTGTAGTTAAAAAAAAAAATGTGTAAAAAAATTACGGTGTTGATAGATTTTAGTGATACAAGAGTATAAACTAGAATTCCAACGTTTTTGAGGTAATTTTCTCACTTCAAAAATTAGGAATTCGAGGATTCTAACACAATAAAAACTCTCGCAACTTCCTTTTTTGTAACTCGCCTATGTTTCGAGCATTCCAAAGGAACCAATCGATCGATCGACCTTCGTGCGCGAACTGTCACACGACAATTAAAAAGACATTCAAATCGAAAAATCGTACAGTGTCGTGTGCACAGTCTGTAAAACAAAGCCTGTGGAACTGTGCACTCGCCTTTTGCGGAAGACTAAACAATCAGGGTAAAAAAAAAAAAAAAAAAAGAAAGAAAAAACGAGCAAACCACTTTTCGTCATATCATTCCTTCGCTGTTACATATTCACGAGCTCGACGTTATTGCAATATCTCTTCTCCGTTATTGCAAGAATCCATCTGCTTATTTTGCCAAAACGAACTCGTCTGTTTTTACTCAATTAAATTTACAAGAGTTGCACGTGCAAAGACATTTAAATGTGGATTGTGGATTTTAGGCGAAATTGCACTGTTCTTGAGAGACTGTTCTTTGTACTCTTCATCACCCCCTAATTTCCAATTTGTCGCGCAATTGATCGGGCAATTTAGAATCAGTTTCTTAGACATTCCGATCTCTCAGCTTGATCGCACAGCAAATAGTCGACGTCGATATAATTTTCCTTCTGTCTTATTTACAACGCGGTGTCGTATCTTTCGCCGACAGTTTCTTCTAACGTGAGAAATATAAAATGTAAGGAGAGTAAAGTGAGACTCAATAAATTTTTTATATTTTTTTCCGTATACCGAGAGACGCGTTTGTTCATGTTCTTGAATTCGTTTTGTGTCGTGTCTGCAATGCGCATAATGCAGAAATACATTTGTAAGGAATTTGCGAAACGAGACGATTTTATGTCACTCTATACACGTATATATTTGCTACACATCTGCAGTATTCGAATATCTGACATCCATTTGCGAAGTGCAACGCATTTCGCCGCAGCTATTTATATTTTTAGTGATTACTAAAAATTTTTATTTAAAAAGAAATAGAGAGAATTATTTTGATTATATTTTCATTTTTATTACTTTTTCTATTTATTAATTTTTTATTTGTAATTATCTTTATATTTATTAATACTTACAAAATAATTTTTAATTTGTAATAACGGGAGAAAGCAGTCTCTTTGCCGTCATTACGAAATTTCTCAATTTACTCTCCGCCATGTAAGAACGGCAATAATTTCCGGCTCGAACTAGCGCGACGGTATTTTCTCGGTACATACAAGCGCCGTACGTAACAGAAATACATAGCTATGCGAGCCATCCGCGAAGATATATATATATATATGTGCGAAGATATATATCTGCGACACACCAGCAGGTAACATTTGATCGATACAGTATCGCCGGTCCGCACATTGGATGTTTCTTGCGAACGTTACGTGCGCATTTTACGTAAAGCCGAAACTGTTCTGCGTGCTACTGTGTGTGGATGTGAGTATGCGATGTGTAACCTAAAAACCGTGTGTGTGCGTGCGTGTGTGTGTGTGTGTGTGTGTGTGTGCAACCTAAAATGATACGTCACCTATATCTAGAGTCTCATCTCTCTCACACACTATCTGCAACAAACATTGAATTAAAGTATCTCTCTCAAGAGGAAAATTCGTTTTAATACAAAGAGAAATTGCCGAAAACGCAGTGTTTTTTTTAAATTAATGTATTAATTTTGTTTTGCTACATCGAAGAAGTTTCTTTGTCAAAATACCAACAATTTTTATAGAAAAAAAAAAAAAAAATTGTTTAAAAGACAAAATTTTTAATTTAAAGAAGTTTTTTCTTTTCTGCGTCGCCACAAACCTTCAGCCCGCGCGCGATATCAGATATTAATAATGCAAACTACTTGCGAAAGAAATTTCATGAAATTTTTATTGAGACAAATGAGATTTTTTTTTCATTTCCAGTTTTTGACCTTATAGTTTTAAAGAAACTTTGTCCTCTCTCTTCTCGTTAATCACATGTTTTTTTTTTTATTTTATTTTTATTTATTTTATTTTTTACATCCTTCTGTTTCATGCATTATCAAAATGTCTATGATAAAAAAAAAACGATACATGTCGTGTGAGAGAGATGGAGAGAGAAAAAAATGTTCATATTACATAATAAGCTATGCTCTCTTATAAAACCGATAGCGGCCATCGAACAAGACACGCGATTTGTACTAGAGCTGAAAGTACTAGAAATCTTTGTTAAAAGAGTGCTACACGGTGCGATAGCGTAAATCCCGTCGACGGGATAGCGTAACAAAGTGTGAAGCTACGGAAAACCGGACCAGTCCCGCGCAAACCTAGTAACAGTAATGCCCACACATCGCGCACAAAATCCGCGTACTAGTATACAGCGCAGTCAATTTCACCAAGATTATCCTATCCGCGTCTCTTAGCGACAAATCGTTCCCAATATCTTTCGACCGGACCTGGATATCTGATCGCCACAGAGAAAGAAAGAAAGAGAAAAAGAGAGAAAAATGCTCCTTTCGAAAACTTTCTTACTCGAATCCGCGCTCGTGACAGGCGTACCCTTACCTATATGTATAGCAGCAGCAGCTCTGACAATCGCACTTAATCTCTCATCGTCACGATGAAGATCAAATGTTTGCCGGCACGATCTATGACCTTTCTGCTTTGACACGTTTAAGAATTCTGATAATATCCGAATCAGATTAAAGACTGCCGAATTTCGAATATCGGTGGCTTTTTGTTTAAAAAAATTTCGATTTTTTATCAAAACAACAAAAAATAATGTGTGTGCACGTATATATTTCTAAGAAACTAATAATCTAAATGTGTTAATAAGAAAGTGTGTATCTTCAAAAAAAACAAAAATTCCAACAAAACTTCTTTTTTTTGTAATATTAAAAAATTCTCAATTATCTCTACGGATACGCACGCAGAGAGCAAACTCGAGAATCTTGATCTTTATCGCTTTTACTCTCGCGCGTTAATTATTTCAACGTCAATTTTGATGCTACTCCAAAAGAGTAACGAGTTCGTTAATAATTCTCGCAAAAAAACACTTCGGAAACCGAATCCAAAACTTCGACACGTGTTGAAGATGCACGTTGTAAAGTTGACGATATCGCGAACGATAAGTGGTCCTCCTTGGCACATTTGCCGCGCGCACACGGAGTTGCTGACTTGTATGGTAAACTTCACGTGCAGTCAGCATACGATTCGACAATTCAGTCGATTAATTTTAGTCTCTCGAGAATGACGCGTGCTGATGACGTAGCACGTGACACGGACAGAACTTGTCTGAATTAAATTCTTATGTAACAAAATTACTGAGCTGAACAAGACAGAAAGTCTTGTCTTATTCTGTCTTTTGCAAAAAAAAAAAAAAAAAAAAAAAAAAAACACAACCCACCTTTCAATTCAAAAAATAAATATACACCGAGACAAAAGAATGTGCGCAAGAGAAAATGTGAATATAAGATGTAAAATCGTGTGTTTTTTACTTTCCCAAGCGTGATAACGTTTTCAAAAAATTCGACACACGTTATTATTTTTCGTGAATTAAATATCTGTGTACGTACTTATTCGTTGACGTCAAATGATCGTTATCGTATCAATTCTTGAATAACACAATTTAATTTAGACAATTATTGCCAATTGAAACGGATTATAACAAGTTGAATAAGCGGAAGAACGGGACGTGCCGGCAAATTGAAAAAACTATATACACACGCAGAAAATACTAAGAAAAAACACTATATAGTAATAGCGGTACGCGCGATCGCGCTTATTAGTCCGTACAAACGGCAAAAATCGATTCGCACTATCAATTTCTCGAGTTCTGTCTCGCGTGCGTTATATTCCGCGTTCATCGCCTCTCGGTTTACTTGCCGACACAACACGATATACGTTCGACACACACACATGTTCTATATGTATATATACGATTTTTCGATGTGTACGATCGTCGTTTTCCGCGCCATTGTGTCGCAGCCGAACCAGCAGTTTTCGTGATTCCGCACAATTCGCGATTACTGCGCGATTACTTCGTCGTCGAGAAGGGACAAGGTCGAGCGTAAAAACGATCGCAGAACTTTTTTCCACGTCCAACAATCTCGACGGCATGCGCTCTTTTCTTTATTGATTTCACACGTGCGCGATAATAATCGTTGTAAAATTTATATAAGAGATTATTACGCGCGATTGATTTCATATTTGCACAAGTTTTTAATCTGAAAAAATCTGACGAACAATCGACAGAGCAAATTGACTGACCGAGATCAGAAGATGAATAAAAATCTGCGGCGCGCGAGGGATTGCAAAAAAAAAAAAAAAAAAAAAAGAGCCGTGTACATATATGCATATATATACGATATATATATATGATATACACGCGCGTACGTGTATATTTGTATACTACATGTACATACATTTGATATATCGAAAGCACATTATACATTAATCTAAAATGACGGGAGAAAATATTAAATGAACGTTGTGCAAAAAAAAAGAAAAAAATAGAGCAACACGATGTATTTACTTTGTTGCGAAACAGATACCGCGATAACGATATTGTGTTGTTTATGCATAATAGATAAAAAGAAAAACCATTTATAATAGATAAAAAAGAAACCAAGTATATATAGGCGACGATACTATGGCGCAATACGAGGAAGCTTATGTCAAGTAATAGTTCGACGTTTTCCTTTTTCCGCCTGTCATCACACACACACTCACTCACTCACTCACACACACGCGCGCGCGCGCGCGCGCACACACACATGCAGATATACATGCACACAAACAGGGATTTCTTTAAATTAATGTTATATGTCCGTACAACTTTCGAGCACAATGCAAGAGCACGTTTTTTCTGCGATCTTTTTTCATTCGTGTGATTCTACATACTAAAAAAAATAATAATAATAATAATTTAAAAACCAAAAAACAAAGATGTGAAAGCAAACAAACACACTCTCAAGAGTTTTGAGACAAATACTAATGTACTTAAACCATCTGTGAGTCTGCCTCTTTTATAAAGTTCTTGCTATATTCAATCTGTGTCTCGTATTTAATTAACTCGCACTACTTGTACCCTCATCACACACACCCGATCCTCTCAATTATGTGTATGAAACTTGACAAATATATATTTATATATATATACATATATTTGTCAAGTTTCTTACACTTGATGACCAAATAATACAATAATTAACTAATACTACAAATACTTCTGCTTGTTGTCAAGTTTCTTACACTCTCGATGACCAAATAATACAATAATTAACTAATACTACAAATAATTCTGCTGCATTTAAATTGTCATGTATAAAATTACGTACAAACTGAGAAAACAACTTTTTGTTTAATTCTCTTTTTCTAAAAAAAGAGTCGTTGTTCAACAAGAGGCCAAGTTATATTATTTATGCAAACACTTATCTGTCAACGTAGATAAGTCGTCGGATGTGTATTTCTTGCAAAATTCTTTGCACGGAAAACTGCTCGCCATTAATTATCCCAAGTGTGACTCATTTCAACAGGTACCTCTAACAAGGACGTTTCTGTTTCCTTTTCTTTTTCTCGGTTGTAGCGGTCACTCGATACGCGCGAACACCGAGTTCAAGGCACTTCGAGGCTTTGCATAACGTGACTCGGTCGAACACAGGCATTAATTAAAAAAAAAAAAAAAAAATACACTTATTCACCGGAATTCCGAAGCGACAAGTGTTTTACCGCGTGTAAACTGAACGTAGCATAAAATGGCGCGTGCGCACTCGAAACTCTCGTTCGATATATATCGAATCGTAAGAGATGCACACACAGCGAACTGCGAAAGTGGTGTAATCCTTTGGTGCACTCGCTTCAACGCTCCGAACGTTCGTATCTTGTGTCTCGTTCGCGTTTCGCAAAGATAAAGTGTACGTTAGCCGCTTAGGTGCTTTTATCATTCTTTGATTAGTCTTCGCGGAACTCGTCGACCAGCGAAATAGTTTTTTTTTTTTTTCGCGAAAGTGCGGACTTCAAAGCGAAAAGATATTACAAAGTGTTACACAATTGTTTAAATTTTCGTCATTTCTTCTGATAAAACATCAACAAATTAAATAACTATTTTTTATTAGTAAATTATAAAAATTTAATAAAATTTACTAAGTGAGAGAAATTTGACACTGAGTTCTTTCTTCGTAAATGAGTGGATGATGAAATACAACCTTTGAGACGTGTTATATTTCATTGAGATATCGACGAGTATTGTTAACGCTACGTTGAAGAATTCAGTTAAGGATTTTGTCACTAATCTCATCTAAGTATAGTTCGTGGATGAAAAAAATTACAGCGACCTAAATTTTTTGTATAGGTTATGGAAGTGGCTTTTCAATTGAAAGAGCGATATTTTAGCAGAAACTGAGATAATCGCCCGAACTTTTGATTATTTTTTTTCCGCTCATTATCAATAAAATTTTACTTTCAAGTGTTATGTACGTAATTGCATTTTATCAAAAATTATCTTTTGTTCGACTTTGATTAACATAATGAGGTAATAATTTTATCATAACGAAACACGGTTAATGCAAGTGTCTGTTCTCGATACCGCGTGTCTTTTACAAAACAACATATCGAGAGCGAATTTGAGACACTCGTGAGTGAGCCAACAATCAAGGATTGAAAACATCTGTTAACTGTGTTCGAGAAAGAAGTTATCTTGAGATAAACGCAACTTGAGAAGTTATCCTGAGATAAACGCAAGATGCTGAGTCATCGGTTGAGCAACCGAAGATTGATGGTCGATGGCCTCGCGCTGATGTTTGGCCTAGGCGCTTGGATCGGTGTGAACGGAATCTATGTGCAATTACCTCTCATAGTGCACACTGCTCCGGAAGGATGGAGTCTACCCGCTCACATGGTGATGCTGGTGCAGTTTGCCAATTTGGGACCTATATTATACACTTTATACATAAAGTAAATCTATGATTCACATAGTATTCACTCCTTTGGTCTATTATGTAACAACTAATATTTAAATATCTGTTTTAGATATTCTGCTTGGGCTTACGACAGATACATTATTTACACCTTGCTGGGAGCAGGAACCTGTGCCTGTGTTGCATTGAGTTACCTGTATGATTACACTTCCTATATATTCAGCAAGGAGCACTCAACTGCCTTACTCTCGCTCATGTTTGTAACAGCCCTGGTTGGATGTACAAGCTCAGTGCTCTTTATGCCCTACATGAGGAATTACAGAGAGATTTATCTGGTGTCTTATCTGGTCGGAGAAGGTCTGAGTGGATTTATACCGAGCACAGTTGCGCTGGTTCAAGGAGTAGGCAGCAATCAAGGATGTATCAACGTTACTAAGCCAGACTCGAATCATCTGGAGTTCATCCCAGCTTCGTCCGATCCGAGATTCTCGTCTCAGATATTTTTTATTTTTATCGGGACTCTGTTATGTCTAAGTTTTCTCTCATTTGTAGGCTTGAACATTTTACCCATAGCACTTGGAGAACGTGTCAAACTTCCGAGCAGTATGGAAACGTTGCCTACCGACACAACAGCGCCGCCGAGCTACAAAACTAACTCCGGCTGGAAAATGCCAAAACACACTTACTATTATTTATTAGTCATGATGGCTGTAATCTGTTTGCTCGGCAATGGTACTTTACCGAGCATACAATCGTATTCCTGTCTACCATATGGCAGCGTAGCGTATCATTTGACAGTCACGTTGGCTTCCATAGCCGGTCCATTAGCTATGTCTTTAGGTTTCTTTATACAAACGCCCGAAGTCAAGTTACTTAATATTCTTACGGCGATTTCGCTGGTACTTTCCGGTTTCGTATTGTATTTAGCCGCGAAATCGCCTAATCCTCCCTTGCAACATTCTTGGATGGGTGAATTTATGGTAGTGCTTGTGTGGATTATACTTAACGGTTTGATAGGATTTGTGAAGATGGGCATTACAACGCTGTATCGGCCCGATCCGGGAAGAGGTCTTTACTACACCGGCGTCGCGACGCAAATCGGATCTCTTATAGGCGCAATCACCACGTTCTGTTTGGTCAATTACGCGAAAATATTTCAAGATTATAATCCGTGCGCATATCTTTCAGGAGATTGAACATATCTTGTACTTAGTTCTTTCAATTATTTGCAATGATAATATTAGTAACAAATTTGAATTTTTTTACTATTATGGTGGATAGCAATTTGGTAACATTTCTTAATAACCACTGCTAATTATCTGCATGCAAAGTGTGTAATTATGATCTGTAAGGCTTAACAAAGTTTTAATGACATTTATTACTCATTTACTATATTAAGTATATTTAGCGAACGGAAGAAACAAATTTATTTGATTCTTTTTTTTTTACGAATGCGTTCTAGCATTATAAACATTCGTATACATGCAACAAATTATTATGATGATTTTTATTTATCACATAATAATATACTTGCACGTACGCAATTCCGTTCTATTTTGCATTATAATGCAAACATGACTTAACATATGATATCATTTAATCAAGATTTAAAAAGAAACATGGAAAAGTATTTTTATAAAAATAAAATATGTAGATATATATATATGTATATCTACACACACACACATATATATATATATAT